CAGACAGAGATTCAGTGAAACAAAATCACATTGATTGATTATCAGACAAGTCACAGGCTTTTGGTCGGGTGTAGGACAGGCTACTACGCAAGTGTTCTGATCAGCTAATATATGAGCAAACTTGAATAAAGATTATAATTAGCACTCACCTCAATTTAGCCAAGAGTGTGCAAAGCTGTCCTCAAGGCAAAGGGTGGCTATTTGAATAATCTCAAATATAAAATATATTTTGATTTGTTTAACACCTTTTTGGTTACTACATGATTCCATATGTGTTATTTCATAGTTTTGATGTCTTCACTATTATTCTACAATGTAAAAAATAGTAAAAATAAAGAAAAACCCTTGAATGAGTAGGTGTTTCCAAACTTTTGACTGGTAGTGTATGTGCAACCAACGTTCTGACAAAAGAAACTTCAGAAAATTTTATTTGTGTGCCCTTTAAGGTGCATCCTTTCTAACGTTTGAAAAACCCACTAAAACCAAAATAAAAAGACCCCACACAATAAATCAAACACGGTATTAACACCACTAACAACTATTCATAACAGGTCGGTTGTGTGTGTGTGCTGGCGTGTGTGGTAAAACATAGGGGGGGGAAACAATGGCCAGGCCTTACTTAATTTTGGAGCTCCCTTACCAGGCGGATCTGGGTACCTTCATACTGTATGGTACACAGTCTCAATAACTGCTCTCCTAAGGCACCTGCCTCAGGAAGCCTTTCAAAGGGAGAGTTACAGAATCATTGGTAAACATGTTTAAAAAACTTGATAGTGGACATTCCATCAGTCCTGGAAGAAAGAAAATAAACATGTACTTAGTTTTCACAATGCTACATTTTAATCAGTCTTAAACATTCTTAATCTTAATCGAGTTTACTGCATCTTGGACAGGAAGTAGTCAAAATATGAAACCTGTTGTTTAACAAATCTGCTAGGACCTTCAAAAAGTTGGTGCAGGCTTATCAGCTCAATATTTGGTACTTAAAACATTTACCTGGATCTACTTCAATTCTGGACACAGTTCCACGTAATGGACACAGATAATTTTTTTAGATGACATTACCTTCTTACTTAAATCACTGGTGCTACCCAAACTATAGAATTGAGTAATAATAATTGGAAATGGTCAAAAACGTCTCTTATTCAATTATTCATACCTCTGTCCCTTACAGCCTGTTTGAGTTCAGTGAGTACTGGCGGCTATCTATTTGTCCACAGGAAACTTATCTCTAACCCAAACAACAGATGGCGGCCTTTCATTTAATATCAGTCCCAATGCTCAATCCATCTGTTCGTCATGTGACCTTTTATTGAAACATTTCCTTCTTCAAATTACTAAGACATTGCATTATTAGAGTGCTATCTGAAAGCCACTAATATTACCATTTACTTACTTTCACTAGTTTCCATATCTTTTTCCTTCAACTAGGACTCCCTTCTTCCCAATAGGAAGACCTTCTCAATCACTACTGCTAATACACACGGATCACTCTCAAACAATGTTCTGCTTTCACCCCTATTGTAAGGTTTAAAACAAAACAAAACAAACATGATAACTTTCTCGTTATTGGAAGGAATTGTTTTCATTTTAGTCTATCCTAATAATGTTACTCTATATATTTATTTAATTTCTGTTGGATATTCACTTTCTGCGTCACACTTCTTAAATGTCTATTCTTTTGAGATTCATATGTAATGCGCCAAATTTATAAAATACATTGGCCAATTCAGAAGGGAAGAGATCAACTTTCTGGGATCAACATGTATTAAAACTGGGCTGGCACTGTCTATCAGTCCCCTATAGATGGCGTGCTCTGTCCATAATAAGTCTCTACCTAGCAAGTTAAACTCTAGTAACCCATTATACATTCATACATTGTTACTTTATCGAATCTAGTAACCCATTATACTATTCATTTCTCTTAATACTTTGTACACCACTTACGTACGTCTACGTGTGGCTGTGCAAGTTGTATATTATTATTATTGTTACTTCATCAAATCTCTAGTAACCCATTATACACACATACAATTTCAATCAGCTTATTATCCTAATTTCAATCTCTTATTATCCCAAATGTAAATCCTTTGTTGAACTCAGCTTACCACTTATTATCCAAATGTAAATCTCTTAACACTAATATCTCTTATTATCCAAATTTCAATCAGCTTAACACATCCTTTCCAAACTCACACAACTCTCACATCCACATTCACTTAGTACTATTCCCAAACACACTCAGTAGTCCCTGACTACAGTGGTCCCAGACCACATAGACAATTCCCAGAAATGCCTATAGACTCAGTAATCTCTTGTTGTTACTTCCTATGCACCATATGTATGTTCAACGGTTCTCTTGCCGTTACTTCCTATACATATAAAATAACACCCTGTGCTCAATAACAACTTGTGCTATTTGTAGTGACTGCAGACCACGTAGAGACTTCTTCAATAAATGCCTACAGACAGCTGTCAGCGGGGATTTCCATGGTACCATTACTCACCCCCGCTCTAGTCTTCTCACCATAAGACTAGTGAATAGCCTTCTCACCATAAGACTATGGGTACATTTTAATTGTTCAGTTTTATTTGTTATTATTATATATTTTTAAACAGATTCATTTAAATTGATTTACTGAAATTCAGTTGCTATGTACCTCAATTGTTCGCGGATTATGTATCTCCTCCTGGGCAGCTCACAGTAAAGGTATGGTCTGGGTGGGTCCTCGTCGTCTTTTGGTCAGATGGGAATTTTCTCACGCTTCATAAAATGCACCACCGGTTTTCCTCGCAGACCCTCACTGGAAAGCTCCGCAGGCAGAATCAATCAAAGTAAATCTTAAATTAATCATTATTTATTAACAGCAAGCTGAGAGGTCACAGTCAAACTTAGATGCATAAAGTACCGGTTTGAAGTGAGCTCCGTCGGGGTAGTCCCGTTAGATCTCTTATATACTGCTTACACAGACAAGTTACATAGGCATGGTTCATAGGGTTGGTTCCTGCATGTGTCTGGCACTGTCTCCTATCTTAACTTATAGAACATATTCTGGGCGTTCTGCCAGATGGTCCTAAGGAGGGGGTCATGTGATTCATTATTCAGCATTAATTCATAATTAACGTTTGCTTCCTGCATGTGACCGACTAATACCTCACAAGGCTTCTTCTCTCCAAACTGAGACCTTGAAACTGAGATATCCCTTTAGGTTCCCAGAACAATGTTCTGGGCGTACGGCCAATTGGTCTGAGGAGGAGGTCAGAGTCACCTGCACAAACGAAGATAGAGGGAGAGGAGATGCTGTGTACAATTCAATGCTATATCTTCAGACAACAACATTTTCCCTCACACCTGGCTGATCATGAAGAACAATATCTGGTAAAACCTTTTTATTCCATGTGCTATGCATTTCGGCAATATTTTTTCATCACAACATTGAAGTGTAAGAGGCCTCCAGTTTTTTTAATGGACTGGATTTTTATACTCACCACCTGGGTCCTGTTTCAGTAGTACTGAAATCAGACCTTCTTGTTGAGTACCTGAAAGTCTACAATTTTTATAGGAGAAATTAAAACATGCTAATAATGGACCTTTGAGTACATCAAAAAAGGTCTGATATACCTCTACTGGAATACCATCAAGACGTGGTGTTTTTCCAGACTGAAAATATTGAATTGCCTCAAGAAGTTCCTCCTCTGTAAGTTGTCCTTCACACAGGTCTTTCTGTACATTTGTTAATTTTACATTATTATTATTAGCAGGGGTGCAACTTTGGCTTTAGAAGTGGGGGGGACATAAAATGTTCAATTAAAAAAATATATATATAATTTTGTATCATACGCATAGCGTTTTCCCCGCGGACATTTCATTTTGAAGGCAAAATACGAAAACCAGATCTCTAAACGTTGCTGCGGAGACGCAAACATTTTTGGGGGGGACATAGCTTCTAAGTTCCACTAGAGACCAAAATCGTCGGGCGTCGTCAGGTGGTTGAAGGCAGCATTACAACCCTTTTCGACCATCTTCATTCAATGTTGCATTGTTGGCACTTTTGTGCGGGTTTATTGTTTGTTGAAAAAAAGATGTAGAAAATTGTTTGTATAGCCTAAAGCCAAGATGCTTTCACAAAGAATGCAGGCTCAGACTGTAAAAACAATTGCGTTGGCCGGGAATCGAACCCGGGTCAACTGCTTGGAAGGCAGCTATGCTCACCACTATACCACCAACGCTAACATACAATATAAAGAAAACAAACCCATATATGAAATATAAATTCTGATGTTTTCTGTAACTAGAAAAGTTTAATTTAGCTTTTTTTATCTGGCTATATACATATCAGACTAGCTAATTAGCTAAATGCTCATAGAAAATAGGCAACATTTTTAGAAAATACGTCACGATTAAATATTGCAGATGTGCTAATATTGCTTGTTCATTAGCTAGCTAACGTTAGCTACTGTACTTGCGAGCGCCTCTGAATGAAGTCAGAAGCAGCAAGCTAGCGAGAGCGCCTTCTTCAAGATGGATTTATTTGATGATCTTCCAGAACCAACCCAAAGCGCAGGTAGATAACTTGATATGTCACATTAAACATGTTTCATTAATTACACATTACACATGTTTCAAGGTGTCGTAATCAAATAACGTTAGCTTGCTAATGCTAACCAAACTAGCTAGTCTCTGCTATAATGTGTTTGCTAACATTACATTATCCTGTTATGTGACGTTAGCTAACGTTAGCTAGCCTTGTTTGGGTTAGCATGTCAACTGCCAATTTAGCAAGTCAACTGCTATCTAGCACAGAGACAGAGAGAGCAACCACATCTAGCTAGCTAGCTAGCTAACGTTACATGAACAAATATTATCAAACCGTTTTTTTAAAATCAGAATAGCAAGTCATTAGTAGGCCCAGTGCAGTGGGTTTCCCGACTAGGTAGCTACTTGTTAGCCATGCTGGAACAGCTAGCTAGCTATGTTGTTAACAGTTAGCAGTGGATGAATGAATAGCTTTCTTTCCCCTTCATTGTCCGTCTCGGTCTGCCATGCATCAGGTGAAGCCTCGGTACAGAATACATGTCCATCACCGCTGGATGACAGGGGGGCCAAGAGGAAAAGAGAAGCACCTGATGATGATGAGGTGGTGGAAGAACAAAAACTAGAAGAAAAGAAAGTTTGTAAAGGTTTTTGACATTTCCACATGAATGTGCAGTATGTCACTTATTTTATGTTTGTCTGTCTTGTCCGTCAGTGTCTCGGTTTAGAGTTATTACTACCTATGAGAGATCACTCTGTGTCCCCAGATGATCAATCTCTGAGTGAAAGTGATCACTCTGTGTCCCCAGGTGTGCCTATACTGAAGGGGTATGTAGCCGCTCGGAGGGGAGAGAGAGAGGAGATGCAGGACGCTCACATTCTCCTATCTGACATGAAAACCTGCCTGTCCACCCTTCCAACTGCAGTGTAAGTCCCCTCTCTGACTCAGGGCAGTGTCAGGATGCGTCCCAAAGGGCACCCAATTGCCAGTCATATGTAGTATCCTACTTTTGACCAGACCTTCCATAGGGCTCCAAAAGTAGTGCATTATATAGGTAAGAAGGTGTCATTTGGGACACATCCAAAGTCCCCTTCTCTCTAACATAGGGGAGTGTCAGTCTGTTAGGACCTGGATGGTGTGAAGGTGTGCTCCAGTGAAGTGACGTACACTACTGTCTGTGCTGTAGGTCTCGTCTGGCCTACTTCGCTGTGTTCGATGGCCATGGAGGAGCTAGAGCCTCTCGCTTCGCTGCCGAACATCTTCACCACACTCTGGCTCTGAAGTTCCCTAAAGGTGAATGGAGAGACTCAGATCCCCTCTTCACTGTCAAAATACTGGGCTGCATTTATTTGTTGTGTTATCTCTTCACATATTCAATATACATCAGTTAATGCTTGAGACTCAGACCACATGCCTATTCATCCTCAATAAACTTGGCTTTCATTTCTAGCGGTATTATCTCTTCACAATATTCTAGAAGATCCATCAAAATCTAATGCATATTGTGTTTCCTCCCACAGCAGAAACGGAGAACCTGGACAAACTGGTGAAGAAGTGCCTACTAGACACCTTCCGACAGACAGATGAAGACTTCCTGAAAAAAGCCTCCAGCCAGTAAGTGCTTAGTCTCTTAAACCCGACCCTAGGCAACAGCAGTGACTAGGGTATGGTAGTTATGACAGACTCTCTTGGTAAGGGAAAAAAATAATTTCCGGGGTGGGTCCTCTTCAGACAGACAACTCTCCAAACAAATCACGAGGCAGACACGCCAGAACGTCGTGATTCGAAACCAAAGTTTGTGGTTTCAGTGTAGGTAGTTGATGTAAACTAGCCACTTGCAAAATGCACTCATTAAAAATACCTCTGTGATCTCCATCTTGCTAGCTACTATTTAGTATTTTATTCAAGCGGATAAGGCAGTGACGTAGGTAGTGACGTAGTTCCTCTATGCCAAACTGACATTCTATTAGGTACAGACGTGTTAAGCTGGAACATTGAAACATTGTGGGAGGCAACACGGATGTCTAGTAAGTGCTTTGCATGTCTGTGCATTACTATGACTGAGTCCCAAATGACAACCTATTCCCTACATAGCTGTGTGTCCTAAATGGGCCCTGGTCAAAATTAGTACACTATGTAGGGGATAGGGTGCCATTTGGGAGTATTTTAGAAGCCCTATAAACTGATGAACTAATCTGTTCTACATGGATGAATGTATGAAGCGATGTGTACAGTGTGTCTGGTCTGGTCCCACAGGAAGCCTGCCTGGAAGGATGGCTCTACAGCCACCTGTATGTTAGTGGTGGATGACATGGTGTATGTGGCCAACCTGGGAGACAGCAGGGTAAGGTGCTGCTCTGCTCACACATTCCGTATATAGTGCACCACTTTTTACCAGACCCCTATGGGCCCTGGGCAAAAGTAATGCAGTAGGAAATAGGGTGCAATTTTATACATAACCTTAGTTTCAACCTGTTTATTTAGCCATCATCAATGATGATATTGCTAAAGGAAGCTGCTGTTTGATTCTGTTGCATTGTAGTAACCTTCCTCACTTGTAACATTGTTCCTCTGTCTCTCTGTAGGCGATTCTCTGTCGGATGGAACAGGAAATGCAGGGCGGAGACAGGAAGTGTGTCACTCTGGCGCTCAGTAAGGAACACAATCCCACCATCTACGAGGAGCGCATGAGGATCCAGCGGGCTGGGGGCACCGTTAGGTACTTGGCTTTCACTGGGCTTTCATATCTTTTCTCTTTATATCTGTGCCTGGAAAAAAACATCAACAACAAAAATACTCTTTGATAAGTACTAGTGATATCCTTGACCTGCTCTGTGAGGAGGAATAACTATTTTATCAACACTTTATCCATGGTTGCTGCTGTGTGTGTTGCTCCAGGGATGGGCGAGTCCTTGGGGTGCTGGAAGTGTCCAGGTCTATAGGAGATGGACAGTACAAACGCATTGGAGTCATATCCACACCTGACCTCAGGCGCTGTCAGCTTACACCCAATGACAGGTAAGACACTGACTCTTTCAACCAATGACAAGTAAGACACTGACTGTTTCAACCAATGATCGGTAACACAACACCAGGTACTCCCAGTCAGGCCCTGTTCCAATACTTTATAAATGCATTTTTTCCCCCTCCCTTCCTTAAAGTAGTCACTGAACTGACATGACTTGGGCTTGGAAAGGCACATTTAATTTGTTGGTGGACTGATGGGTGATCTTTCTCGCTCTCGCTCTCTCTCTCTCAGGTTCATTATCCTGGGCTGTGATGGTCTGTTTAAAGTGTTCTCTGCAGAGGAAGCTGTTAAATATGTTCTCAACGTCCTGCAGGTATACATCATGCTCACAATGTGTGTTTATGTCAAAAAGATGTCTCAGTATGTGTGTGTGTGTTTGCTGGGGTGTGTGACTGTGTGTTTGGAGTGTGTGTGACACCGTCTTGTTGTTATTTTCAGAATGGGAGTGTTGAGAGGAAGGAGGGGCAGACTGAGGAGGAGGGCCACTATGAAGCAGCATGTCAGAGACTGGCTAATGAGGCAGTGAGGAGAGGATGTGCCGACAACGTTACCGTCATACTGGTGTCTGTTAGCTTCTGAACAACAGACACCCGATCTGGCCTGTCATTGATGTGTCTGTCATTGCGTGCCTCAGTGCCTCTGAGTGCTATGTCCACCGTGGCTCCAGACCTTAAAACATATGAACAGATCCCACCGCTGCCACCAACAGACGAACATCAGAGACATGTTGGTCAACTGTTCATTATAAAGGAGGTGTTCTAATCTCTAACTCAATGTGTACTGTATACCCTATGCATGTACGCAATGCAAGAACGCAATTGCTAATTGCTTGTGTTGCGTACTTGCGTAGGGTGTAAATTAGGCTTAATGCTCTGTAATGCCCTGTACTGCTGATCCTGATGACTACTGGTGAATTAAATGGGCTTTGTTTTCTGTCTAATACATTGTCTTATCTAATTTGTGCACATGTTGTTTTATTGCTTTCAATGTAAAAAAAAAATTTTTATTTGGGGTACTTTTAATAAAGTATTTCAGAACATAATTTCAGAGATTGTCCCAAAAAATGTAACAAACGTATACAACCCTGTATGATCCAATTGGAAGCTGGTCTAGATTTATTGGACTCCTATCTTCCTCCCTGTCCCCTCCACCCTGGATAATACAGATGTATGTCTGTCCCTTCCCTTTCTGTCCCAAGTCTCCTACAAGTTCATATCATAAACATACATTACGATTAGGATTTGCTTTATTGTATCCAATCAGAAATTTAAGAAGGAATCGTGTTGACTCATTGCATTTCTGTCTGCAAAAAATGGCGGGTAATGCCTACTCATAATAGGTTAAAATCACATGATGCACACCAGATGATGTCCCTCTTTGTCCCAGACAAAGGTCCCCTCTGGGATATTAAAGTAAATTATATCCATTTGTAGGACACCTGGGTGAACCCCATCTCTAACAATAGCCTACTGTTTTTCTCCCACAGTAATGAATGGGTTTGGCCATTAGATGGTGCTATCAAACCATTTCTCAACCTCACTCATGATGACAGCCTATAACAGGTGAGACAGACTTATGTGATCAGAGAGAGCTACACATTGTTACATTTTAGTCATTTAGCAGACGCTCTTATCCAGAGTGACTTACAGTTAGAGAGTGCATACATTTTTCATACTGGCCCCCCGTGGGAATTGAACCCACAACCCTGGTGTTGCAAACACCATGCTCTACCAACTGAGCTACACGGGACATCTTCAGCTTGTCTTGGTATGTATGCCTCAGGAGATTTACACTACAAAAATGTAAACGCAACATGTAAAGTGTTGGTCCCATGTTTCACGAGCTGAAATAAAAGATCCCAGAAATTTTCCATATGCACAAAAAGTTGAATTCTCTCATTCTGTGCACAAATTTGTTTACAGCACTGTTAGTGAGAATTTCTCCTTTGCCAAGATAATCCTTCCACCTGACAGGTGTGGCATATCAAGAAGCTGATTAAACAGCATGATCATTACACAAGTGGACCTTGTGCTGGGGACAATAAATGGCCACTCTAAAATGTGCAGTTTTGTCACAACACAATGCCACAGATGTCTCAAGTTTTGAGGGTGCATGCAATTGGCATGCTGACTGCAGGAATGTCCACCAGAGCTGTTGCCAGAGAATTGAATGTTCATTTCTCTACAATAAGCCGCCTCCAACATCATGTTAGAGAATTTGGCAGTATGTCCAACCGGCCTCACAACAGCAGACGTATGGCGTAGTACGTATCGCTGTATGAGGCAAATTGTGGTCACACCGGATACTGACTGGTTTTCTGATCCATGCCTCTACCTTTTTTTTAAGGTATCTGTGACCAACAGATGCATATCTGTATTCCCAGTCATGTGAAATCCATAGATTAGGGCCTAATTTATTTATTTGAATTGACTGATTTCCTTATATGAACTGTAACTCATTTAAATCTTAGAAATTGTTGCATGTTGCGTTTATATTCTTGTTCAGTATATATGTAGGCCTACTACTTTTTCTCCACATTTAGTTCACAATATTATCATATTTATTTGGTATGGAACGAATGACCAGTCATTCTAATAATAATAGATTTAATTTGTATAGCGCTTTTCATTACAGCAAGAATCTCAAAGATGCTCTTAAAACAACAAAACAAAACATTTCAGTTAGCCTATTGACAGTTCTGGGTAAAAGATCTTCCACAGTTATCCACAGAGGCAAGTGCAAGTCTCCATGCGCACCTTCCTCACCTGAGCCGTCCACATCCCTTCCGACTGAGGCCCAGATGAAGGGTTGAGCAGGGGGTAAGCAATGTTCAGATCCAGGGGGGAAACAAGTCAGCAGTCAGGTCACTTCTTGCCATCCCCAGTTGTATTATAGGCCTATAGCCTGTTCATCAATGGCATGTCATATTGATATAGAAAACAGGGCTGTTTTAGAATATTTGGGAATATGTGTTGGTTTGCAGACAGTGTATCCATGTACCCTGACGGAACGTTCAGTGCTATCCGGGATCCTTGGGACATCCCTACCCTAACGTTAACCCTTATATTAACCATTTAAAAACGTCAATGGGGTTATGGATGTCCCAAGGATCCCGGATAGCACGGACCCTGACAGAATAGTTGTTTTTCCTGTTATCTGTGTTCCTCCTGAAGCAGTGCTGTGTTTTTGAAGAGGCTGGATGTTCTAATATCTTGCCTCAGGCTGTTGATTTAAATCACCATATAATTATTCAGATAACTCTGCTCTTATATCATCACCAGCCAGCCAGACTGACTGAGAGCTGCAACCGTTAGAGCAGGCTGCAGGATTCCTCTGTCTCTCTCTCTCTGTGTTTCTCTCTCTGCCCCCCCCCCCCCCCCCCCCCCCCCTCTCTCTCTCTCTCTCTCTCTCTGTCTGTCTGTCTGTCTCCCTCGCTCCATCTCTCTCTGTGTTTCTCTCTCTGCCCCCCCCCCCCTCTCTCTCTGTGTCTGTCTGTCTCTTTTTTCTGTCTGTCTGTCTGTCCCTACTATATCAGTAATAGTATGCTGGTACATAGCCTGGTTGTAATAGTTAGCTGGTACATAGGCTGGTAGTAATAGTATGCTGGTACATAGCCTAGTAGTAATAGTATGCTGGTACATAGCCTGGTAGTAATAGTATGCTGGTACATAGCCTAGTAGTAATAGTATGCTGGTACATAGCCTGGTAGTAATAGTATGCTGGTACATAGTCTGGTAGTAATAGTATGCTGGTACATAGCCTGGTAGTAATAGTATGCTGGTACATAGCCTGGTAGTAATAGTATGCTGCTCCTGTAGATGAGAACAATGGGAGGATGAGTGGAGGGCAGGAAGGAGGTAGAGATGGAGGGAGAGGAGGAGAGAGGGAGGGAGGGAGGAGGAGATGAGGTAGGGAGTGGAGGGCTGGAGGAAGGGAGTGGATGGAGGGAGAGGAGAGCTGGAGAGAGGGAGAGGAGGGCTGGGGGCCCCTGTAAGTGCATGTAAATGAGATGAAGCTGTCAGTCATTCAGTTCTTTTTCCGGACTCCCCTCTTTTTATTTCCTTCCCTCTTCCCCCTCCGCCTCTATCACTCTCTTTCCAGATTATTCTGTACATTTTAAATCAGTTGGAAGAACCCCTACACCCCTCCCATTAAGCTGGTATGTGTATGTATGTGTGTGTGTGTTGCGCGTGTGTGTGTGCGTGTGTGTTTATGTGTGTGTCTGATTGAAGGGGGATGGTCGCTTTTGTCACCAGCTGACAGGACAGTGGCAGCATTTCATACAGATTTCACACTGCAGTCGTACCAACAGGACAGGACATTCACTGCTCACTGACCTCCTCACACACACACACTGACGGAGGAGATTGGGAGGGGTAAGTAACCATGATGAGTTATTATATTTAGCTAATTTTACAGCTCTTATTTGCTGAAAAGTGTAATAATTATTTTAATAGATGTTTTAATGTGATGATTTCAATTAAATGACTTGATCAGTCTACTGTTGTCACAGTGAGTACTTTATGTAATTCTGTCTCTCCATCTATCTATCTGCATGTCTGTCTTTGGGTTGTTGGCAGACCACTGCTAGGTCAAGGTCACTGGCTGTCTGGTTTACTGTGGGCCACAAGGCTATACTTAAAGCCTGGTACTAGGGGGTTAAATACTGTAGGCGTGTGTGTGTGTGCAAGCGTGTGTGTGTGTGCAGGTGTGTGTGTGTGCAGGTGTGTGTGTGCATGTCATACGGATTATTATACCTACCCCTGCTGTGGGAGGCCAGTGCTCTGGGGAGAGGAGGAGAAAGGAGTAAGGAGGAGCGAGGAGGAGAGAGAGCTGCATTGGTCTCAGGTGCAGCAGAGTGACAGTCTCATTATACAGAGAGCTGATTAGACAGAATCAATGGCAGAGTTCAGTTCAGGGCTTCATTGAGCAATTAAATTACTGCAGGCCTGTAGGACACAGGGCTTTTAACCTGATCAAGATAACCTCACTATAGGTTAATCACATCAGCTTGTTGACACAAGCCTATGGTTGGGTTCCAAATGGCACCCTATAGGACGCATCCTATGACTGTGTTGACTGGAGTGGCTGTGGCAAGAGGATGGAAATGGCTGACGATTATAAATCATTCTGCTGTGTTGTTTTGTCTTGACACTGACTTACTCTAGTGTAACACCACAACAACAATGGAAGTGGAACAACACCTAGTGGATGTGAACAGTTATCATATACATTGGGTCTATGGTACACATGGACTATGGTGTCACAGTGAAACAGGAAGTTCTATTGGCACCAACATGTACGGTAGGATGAGCATCTGTCCTCTCCTGTGGTTCTGATATTCCGGCCTGACTGTGTGTGTGTGTGTGTGCATGCATGTATGGGTGCATGTCTGGTGTGGTCTGTGTAGTAGCAGAGACAATGGGAGAGACAGGTGTTGAGACAACTGCTCAGCAGCTCGGCATGGTCTCCCTAATCCCATACAAGACACACACATACACACATACACACACACTGAACAACAATGTCTCTCCCACTGTGAGACTACAGAGCTGTCTGGCAAGCCCACACTACAGCAT